CTTGCCATTATGGTGAAGGGTATAAAAATTATAATTCGAAATTAAGCTCATCAATAGATATAAAAGTAGATTTTCTTGTCAAAATTCCTATAGTTGACTTTTTCCTTTGAAGGCGACTATCACCTTCGTGCATTTAATATAAGCCCTAGTAAGATTAAATAATTATTTTTCAAAGTAATTTTTTTTTTTAGTTTTTTTTTAACATCAAATTGTTGTTTATTTTATTATATTTTGTAGCATACTTTTAGGGTTTTTTCTTTTTGAAAACAGCTGTTTTGTCAAAAAAGGTTCATATTTTCGTGAATACATTTTAATAAATAATTTAACTTCAAAACAAATAAATACAAAAAAAAAACGTATTACATTAAATTAACAATAATTTTCATTACTGATATTTAAAAATGTTACATACATTTTAAATGAATATGGTAAGTTGTTGAAATTTTGCTTTAAATTACATACTTAAATACTAGCTTGATTTAAATATTAAAACTTTTTTCTCATTGAATTTTTATTCTCATTATGTTTTAATGTTATAATTAAAATGTACTTAAATCGTGTATATATATTTTTTCATTTGTTTTTTGTTTTGTGTCCATTAAATAAATTTGTTTTGTATTGATAAACTGTACATTTCACTATCACAGTCATCCAGTTTAAGATAAAATTCCATTTAATTTAAACTGTCAAGAAAAGAGACGTCAAACGCAGCTCACCACAAAATTTACAAAGGCAATGCCCGAAGGCATTGCCATTCAAGTTAGGGAGAGAGAGAGAGAGGGAGAGAGTTGAAGTACTTCATTTGTCTCTTTTGAGATAATATTAAAATTTAATTAAGACATATTTATTTTGTTTTTGTTTTAATGGGAAATTATTGCTACAAATACACGTTGTTATTATATATGTTTAAAAAATCTTCTATATAATAAATATTAATTATCATTTTTTGTTTTTTTTTTTTTTTTGATACATACATTCAAGTGGATATTTACAGAGAGCTTCATTTTACAAAAGTAATGGAATATTAACTTTTTTTTTGTAATGTTATTAAATACTATTATTAACTAGAGCTAAAAATTGTTTATATTTTAGTTTTTGTTTTTATTTATTAATAATTTTTTAATTATTATTTTTTGTTTCAATCAGTTAAAAACAACATTTATGACTAGAAGAGAATTTGAAAGTTAGAGAGACTTTAATTTTTGTATTCTCTATGATTATTTTTTGCTTTATTTGTGGAGGATAGGGTGGCTCCAAAGAAAATTGGTTCAAATGGTTATCTGGACAAGAAAAACTTTCCCAGTCGGTGGAAGTTTTTCTATCCCATCAACGTGTAACAGGTAATAACGCGGGGCAAAACAAAAAGATATTATGGGAAAAATACAGCCAATGAAAAAAGAAGGTGTTTTGAGAGTTTACATAGCCAAGTAAGAGGGGGAACAAGTTTCCCCCCTCTTCCATACTTTTGGAAATATTCGGATTAAGAATACTCGGAATCTGTGAATTTTAGGTATATAATGTCTTTGGCAATATTGCAGATAAAAATGTGAGGGATGTTTTGGTCAACAGTTTTAGCCCTCAAACGGGTTAAAGTCCAAAGGGGTCTTTTTTTCGCTGTAATTATTGATAAAATTGAATTCTGTCTCACGTGTAATCGTGATTTACTTTAAATATTTTTTTCTAGGACCGTGAATGGTGGATTTTTGTTTTTAAATATTTTTTTTTTTCAAGATTTTTAAAACTAGCTGTCCCGGACATAAGAAAAAATGTTTTTTCAAAGATCTTCTGGTTTAAAATAAAAAAAACAAAAATCTGAAGAATGCCCTGGATACCTAAAATTTTTTTTTTTTAAATTTAATAAAATCTTCTTTTTCAAAGGATTTTAAGATTAGCAGTCCTAGATCTAAGAATACTTTTTAAGGTTTAAAACAGAAAAAAACTTCTAAAGAATGTCCTGGATTCTTAAAAAAATATTTTTTTTTAAATTTAAAAAAAATTCTTTTTCAAAGGATTTTCAAACTAGCAGTCCTAGATAAAAGAATATTTTTTAAGGATTTTCCGACTAACAGTCCCGGGATTTTTAGACTAGCTGTGTTTGATTTACAAAAAAAAAAAGATACTTTTCCAAGGATCACTCTTTTCTAAAATTTCGTTTTCCAGGATCGTGGAAACATTTTTTCAAGAACCAAGTATGATATTTGAAACTAGCTGTCCTAAATTAAAAAAAATTCAAGGATCTCCTTAAAAAAATATTTTTTCTAGAACGTCCTGGATTCTTAAAATTTTCTCAATAATTTAAAAATATATATTTTTTATCCTGGGATTTTTAAGACTAGCAGTCCTGGATTCAAAAATATTTTTCAGGATTTTCTAATTGACAGTCCTGGCATTTTATAAAATTGTTTTTTTTTTAAGATCTCCAGGTTTAAAAAAAATATTTTCCCAAGGATATTCTGTATTTTTAAAAAATATTATCTTAAAAATTTAAAAAATATATATTTTTTTTTTTTCAAAAGATTTTAAGACTAACAGTCCAAGATTAAAAAATAATTTTCAAAGATTTTCAGACACAGTCCTGGGTCAGATGTCCTTGATTTACAAAAAAAAAATATATTTTATCTTTTAGGATCTCCTGGTTTAAAACAAAAAAAAAAAAAAATCAAAGATGTCCTGCATTTTTCAAAAAAATATGTCCTCAAAAATCTAAAAAAAAATATTTCTTTTTCAAAGATTTTAAGACTAGCAGTTCTGGGATTTTTAAGAATAGCTGTCCTTGATTTACAAAAATATATATATATATATTTTTTTTTCTAGAATATTCTGGTTTTAAAAAATATTCTCAATGATTGAAAAAAATCTTTTCAAGGATTTTCAGACCATCAGTTCAAGTTAAAAAAAATGTTTTTTTTAAATTTTTAAGACTAACAGTCCTGGGATTTTTAAGTCTAGCTGTCCTTAAATAACAAAAGAAAGAGATTTTTTTAAGATCTCCTTGTTTAAAAACAAAAAAATATTTCCTAAAGAATGTCCTGCATTTTTGAAAAATATTTTCTCAAAAATTTAAAAAAAAAAAATATTTTCAAGGATTTTAAGACTGGCAGTTCTGGGATTTTTAAGAATAGCTGTCCTTGATTTAAAAAAATATTTTATAAAGGATTTCCGGGTTTAAGGAAAAATAATTTCTTAAGGATGTCCTGGATCATTAAAACATATTTTCTCACTAATTTTAAAAAATGTTGTTTTTAAGGATTTTAATACCAGCAGTTCTAGAATAAAAAATATTTTCAAGGATTTTCAGACTATTTCCTCAAGGATGTGCAGGATTCTTAAAACATATTTTTTCGAAAATTTAAAAAAAATATATTTTTTCAAGGATTTCAAGATTAACAGTCCAGGATTTTTTAAACTATCTGTCCTTGATTTAAAAAAAAAACATTTTATCAGGGATTTCCAGTATTAAAGAAAAATAATTTCTCATGGATGTCCATTATTAAATAATATTTTCTCACAAATTTTAAAAAATATTGTTTTCAAGGAATTTAAGATCAGCAGTTCTAGAATAAAAAATATTTTTCAAGGATTTTCAGACTAATAGTCCTGGGATTTTGTAGACTAACTGTTATTGATTAACAAGAATATTCAAGGATCTTCTGGTTTAAAAACAAAAAAAATATTTCCTCCAGGATGTTCTGGATTCTTAAAAAATATTTTTCCAAAAACTTATAAAAAATATTTTTTCTAGGATTTTAAGACTAACTGTCCTTGATTTACAAAAAATGTTTTTTTCAAGGATCTCCAGATTTAAAAACCAAAAATATTTTTTCAAGGATATCCTGGATCCCTAAAATATATTTTCTCACTAATTTTAAAAAATATTCTTTTCAAGGATTTTGAGACTTCACTTTTTAAGACTTTTTTTAAAATCAAAGAAAACCTTGAAAAATATTTTTTAATCTAGGACTGAAAAATATATTTCAGGATTTGCTTTGATTTAAAAAAATTATCAGGGATCCCTGGTTAAAAAATAATCTCAAGGATATTCTGGATAAAAGATATTTTCTCAATTACTTAAAAAAATTCTGTCAAGGATTTTAAGACTAGCAGTCCAAGAATAAGAAATATTTTTTTGGGATTTTTCAGTCTAGCAGTCCTTGAAATTTTAAGACCAACTGCCCTTGATTTGCAAAAAAAAAATATTTTTTTAAGGATCTCCAGGTTTAAAAAAATATTTTCACGAGAATATCCTGGATTCGTAAAGATTTTTTTTTTTTTTCAAAAATTTAAAAAAATATGTTTTTCAAGGTTTTTTTAGACTACCAGTGCTTGATTTAAAAAAAAATAAGGTTCTCTAGGCTTAAAAAAATATTTCCTCAATAATTTTAAAATAATATTTTTTCACGGATTTTAAAACTAACAGTCCTGGGTTTAAAAATAAAACATTTTTAAGGCTAGAAGTACTCGATTTAAACAAAAAAATTAAGAATTTCCAAACCTGAATTAAAAAAAACATTTAATACAAGTTACCCAATTGAACCATTTCGAAACCAACTTTCTTTGGACTAACCCAAGTGGGGAGGATTTATGTTTTCTTTTATAGACAAGTAATAACCTTTATCGTCCATCCGCTTGAACTTATTTATAACAACATTTAAAAATTCGTTAGTATTTTCATATTTTGGAGGGGAATTGTTTTTTTTCTTTCGGAACGGTAAGAGAGAGGATTTTTGAGTGGGGTGAGGAGGGGTTCCTCTTACATTTTTTTCTGGGGGTATGTACGTTATTTCTGTTACTGTTGCTGTTGGTGGTTTCGTGGTTCAATATGGTTGTTCACCTTTGATGTGCCTGTAAAATGTTGGCGCCTCTGGAAACGGAGGACTGTATGTGGTGGGTGCCAGTGGTTCGATTGCATTAATTACCGCCGCCGCTGCTGCCGTCGTCGAACGCCCATCGCCGACATTGTTGGCGCCGCTCAAGCTCAGACCGTAGTCAGCCATATGTTATCATTTGAGTATTGTCGTCAGACCCGTATTCATTAGACGATTACCCACAACGAGCGAATTCAAATTACTGCCACCCACCCCGACACCGACGCCAACACCCAGAGCCCCAAAACCACTGCCCGCTCCCACACCCATGCCATGCGAATGACTGGCCGTTAAAGAGGCTGCTGTTGCTATATTCAGATGGTTGCCATTGATGAGACTGTTGCTGCCACCGCTGTTGCTGTTGTTGCTTAGACTGAGGCTATTGTGGTTCAAACTACTGCCCGTTTGGAGGGCACTATTCAAGCCGCCAACAACACCGCCGACACCGCTGCCACCGCCGCCGACGCCACTGCTCGAGTTGTTGGTTAGACCGCTCGACATATTGGTGCTGGAACTAACCGCCGACTGGAGATTGTGTAGGGTGGCAGCATTAATGGCTGCCGCCGCAGCACTCGATGTTGTTCCAGCTGTTGTACCGACGCCACTTGAATGCATTGAATGTGCCCCACTGCTGCCAGCGATGGCGTTGCTCTCATATTAGAAGCCACCACCGGACGATGATGGTCATGCGTAATGGGGATATGAGCTCAGATGGGGAGCAACGTGGGAGGGTGTTACATGACCCATCGAATGGGGTTGATACAAATTCGAGTGATTACCCCAGTTACCCCAGGAGGCGGCCGACGGGAAGATGGAAGCTAAAAATAGATGGAGATGGAGAGACGAAATTAGTAAATGACAAAGTTATAATGAAAAAAATATTGAAAATATTCGAAATAAAAATAAGGATAGGATTTGAAAGGCTACAAACATGCATGACGTTTTGAAAAAATATTTAAATATAAAAACGCGCACAAGGACTATTCGATGAAATTGATTTTTTAAGATTTCTTTAAAGAGTACAAATATGTCATCGAGAATTTCTTGATTTTTTTTTTTTTTTTTGAAATTTTTAATTTTATTTAATTAACAATTTTTAAGGATTTCATTTGAAAAATAAAGAGCCACAAAAGGGAGTTTCTTAGAGCAAATAGGATAGTAGTTTTTAAGGACTCAAGGTCAATTAAAAGCGAATTTCTAAGAATATTTTTCGAGTACAAAAAGGAGTATTTTTATAGACTCAAGGATCATTGAAAATGTAATTTTAAGAATATTTTTTTTAAAAAAATATTTTTTTAAATGGGTTAGAGAAAAATACTATCGATATTTTCTCAAGGATATCCTGGGTTCTTGAAAGATATTTTCTCAAAAATTTAATTTTTTTTAAAGACTAGCAGTCCTAAATTGAAAATTATTTCTCAGGATTTTCTTTGATTTAAAAAAAAATATTTTATCAAGGATCTCCTGGTTAAAAGAAATATTTTCTTAAGGATATCCTGGATAAAAGATATTTTCTCAATTACTTAATTTTTTTAAGGATTTTAAGACTTGCAGTCCTAGATTAAAAAAAAAATAATTTTTAGGGATTTTCAATCCTGGCAATTCCTTGTCCTTCTTCCTAGTCGTCCTTGATTTACAAAAAAATATTTTTTCAAGGATCTCCTGGATTCTTAAAAGATATTTAATTTAAAAAACGTATTTTTTCAAGGATTTTAAGACTAACGGTCCTTGATTTAGAATAAAATAAAATTTCAAGGATCTCCTGGTTTAAAAACAAAAAATATTTTCTCTAGGATATCCTGGATTCTTAAAAGATATTTAATTAAAAAAATATTTTTCAGGATTTTCAGACTAACAGTCCTGGCATTTTTAAGACTATCTGTCTTTAATACAAAAAAACGTATTTTATCAAGGATCCCCTGTTTAAAAAAATATATCGATTTTTTAAGAAAATATGTTTGAAACCAAAATATGTGAATTTTTAAGAATATTTTTCAGGGACATTTAAGGACCGTCGTATTTAAAAAAAATCATGGCTTAAATAATCAAAAAAAAAAAAAAAAACATGTATTATTTAAATGTTTTCCAAGGACCCAATGATCAATAACAAACTGGATTTTTAAAGAATAAATATTATTTAAAGTACCAGGTTAAGCCAGGTGGGTTTTTAAGTGACATACGGATCAAAAAAGTCTATTTTCCAGAATATAAATTCAATAACTATTAGGGCAGTAGAATTTGATTTCAGGATATTTTGAAGGACAAACAGACAAAAAACTATGGAAAATTGCTTAAGGATTTTTCAAGATTTTTTTTTTTCAGGACCAAAAGTAGATTTTGATGATTTTTTTCTAGACCTAACAGAACAAGCAGCGTATATTTTTTAGAGGGTTTGTCCAGAACTTACATATTAAAAATATTGAGTTTATAATGCATTTTTTTCAAAATAAGTTTGTTCTAGACCGAACAGACGAATGACCCAGATTATTTAAGAATTTGTTAATAGATTGATAATTTAGAAGGTTCTACATTTTTGAAGGACTTTTAGGATGTTCAATGTTTTAAGAATTAGTTTTAAGGACTCAGAAATTTATATTAAGGATTTGATTGGAATGACATTAAAGCCTAAACATATTACGATTTTGTTCGAAGAACTGGATTTTGTAAAAGAACCTTTTTTGTGTGGAATCTTAAAGGACCCCTGAAACTGACAATTACCATATTTTTAATAGATAGATTGTAGATCCATAACACCGATAATTATGCATTTAAGGACCTCTTTGAAGGACTCTATCTTCTAAAAATTTAGAATTTTGTAAAGAATTTTATTAAAAAACCCTGAACACCAAGCACTCCGGATTGAATAAATTTATGAATTTTCTTAGAATTTTTAAACCAAAAATTATGGATTTTTTAAAGAAATTTTAAAGGATATTTTAAACAATTTTTTTAAGGACCTTCAGCAGCTTTCATTATGAGTTTTCTAAGAAAAATCTTGAAGTTTAACCATTTTTTAAGAACTTTTAATACCAAAATTTTATGATTTTTTTAAATAATTTTTTAACGAACAAGCTTGGATCCTTTAGGGACTTCTTGTAAAAAGCCTCAAAGGGTACTTAAAAACGACAAATTCTTCATTTTTAATCAATTTTTAAAGGTCCATTGGAAAATTCTGCAAATCCTTTAAGAATTTGGATTTTCTTTACAAATCCTGAATTTTTTAAAGGAGTATCCCAGGACTCTCAACACCTTAATCAAGGAGTTAATTTAAATTTTTGACGTAGAAAATTTGAAACAAATAATCCTGGATTCTTTAATAACGTTCTTAATGAATTTCTGAAGATTTTTTTGAGGGACATTAAGAATTTTCGAAGAGAAGTCCTTAAATTTATTTGAATGACCTTTGAGACCAGTAGTCAGCGAATTAAAAATAATATTGGAACGATTTTTTAAATATTTTTTAAAGGATCCATACCACCAACCCCAAATTCAGGTGTGAAGATGGAATATATCGGTCCACTCTATCTGGTACTCTCCACACAAAGGGTTAACATTTTGAATATACATGAAGCTCATAAAACGCAAAATTTACAAGCGATTCCATTTAGACTTGACATATATCTATATTTCTATCAACAGAAGATCGGTTATAAATATCATAAAGATCGGATCATTACTTCTGGTACTTCCCCCACAAAGGGTCAACATTTTCAATAACCAAAACGATCCTAAAATACAAAATTAACATCTGGTTCTCTTCATATTTCACATATTCCATTATTTCTACTAACAGTAGATCTGCAGTGAAGATGGTATATATTGGTCCACTCCTTCTTGCACCTTTCCGACAAAGGGTGAACATTTTGGCATAATTCAAACTCGAATAAAATACGAAATAAGCATTCGCTTCTGTTCAAATTTCGCACATTCCAATATTTCTTCCAACACAAGATCTGGTGTACCGATGGTAGATTTCGACCCACCCATTCTGATACCTCTCCCCCCCACAAAGGGTCACAATTTTCAAGGAGCCTTTGAAACCGGAAATTATGACCTTTTTCATAACGAAGTAATCGTGAAATATTTTTGAAGGAGCTTTAGAATCAACCTCCGTTGATTATAATTTGTGAAAGTCCTTTGGAGGAAACCATTGTGGATTTTCTTAGACGAAACTGTTGAGGATTTGAAAGATTCACCTGGACTTTTTGAATGATTTTCTTAAGAACCTATCAAAGCAATTTTGAAGAGAAGCAATGAGAGAAGAGAAGCAGTGAAACTAAGGACGTTTTAACGAATTGATATTTTTTTAATTTTTAAAGCTCTAATCATGTTCCTTACTTCAAATGTTTAAAGGGTCTCCTAATGCCTAGAATCATGTACAATTTTATATTTTACGTGAAGGACAGTTGAGGCCAGCAATTGTGGATATTTTTTAACGCAATTATTCTTTTTTTTTGTCAATATTAGGGAATTTTTTCAAAGAACTTTAGAACTAAATTTCAAAATATCTAATATTTCTTTATTTATTTAAAGGACTTAGACTTGCAATGGTGAATTTTCATGTAAAATTTAAAAAAGGTTTCAACGAATTTATATACGGAATTTAAAATGTATTTAGGTTTTTATTTTTTGTGAGGTCAATATTAGTGAAGATTTTACAATTTTTTTAAAGAAATTAAGAACCAAGTTTGAGGCTAAAAATTGTGGGAATCTTTGTAGAGATTAGCTATCCAAGTTTTTCAAAATATAAATGAAACATATTTCAACGAATTTGCGAACGACATTTAAAAAATATAGCCATGTTCCATATTACGAAGTGTTTACAGGTATCCTTAATCCTTATAACCTTTGGGAAGGACCTTTAAAGCCAATAATCGTGGATTTTCGTATATTTTTTATTTTTTCAATTTCTTTAAGACTTTTTTTCCTGGTTCATGCTAATGACCTTTAAGGCCAACATTTACGGATATTCGGTTTGTAGATTTTCCGATTTAAAATTTTTTTGAAGGAACTTTAAGAACTAGCCATTTAGTCATCTTGCATATTTAAGTTGTTGAAAAGTTGAAAGGCATTCTTTTAGAACATGTTTTTAATTTTATGAAGGACTTCTTTTCCAATATATTTTTTAATTTTTATATAATTTCTGAAGGATATTTAAGTTTTTTTTAAGGAATCCTGATTCTTTTCACAATTTTTTTAAGAGCTTCATGAAATTTCCAACCCTTTTTGTTTGAACATCCTTAAAATTGATTTTTTTAATAATAATTTTGAAGGACCTTCCAGGTCAGTAGTTGTGATTTTAATTGAATTTTTTAAAGGATTTTTAAGGCCATCAATTCTTTTAACGATTTCTTGTTTGTGACAAGACATTAAGACAAGACATTGTGGATTTTGTTGTCCATTGTTTTAGGGTATATTTTTTGGATGACCTTAAAAATTCTAAACAAAAATTTCATTGAAAATCACAACTACTATCCTGCAAGGTTTTTCAAAATTATAACTAAAAATTAATTTTTAAATGTGTTTAAAATGCACAGGGTTGGCAAATTCATGAATTTTGTTTTTACATCTCATTAAAAAATTCACGAAAACTCAAAGAAAAATTAAAAAAAAAATAGCGAAATTGTTCTAAATATTCTTCAAAATTTTTTTCTGAAAATTTATTAAAGAAAATTATAATATGACTAAAAATGTTAAAAAATTCTTTTTTACAATTTTATAATTTTTTTTTTCTATTTTTTTTTTTTATGAATAACTTTTAATACCAATATCTAACAATTTTTCTGTTACCAAAACCCGTTTTCATTCCGCTCCAAATAATCCCCTAAGAATTATTGCGCTTACTTCCCCATGTCTCCACAACGTCTGCCGGAACCCAATCATCCAATAAATTAGCTAATTAGTAGCCAATTCAATCACTCAAACAATACACCCCCATAATTCAAAACCAAACTCTGTTTGTTTATATTTCAAGATTTGGAATTCACGTTTTAGACTTTTTTTTGAAATGTTAGTTGATCGAACAACGATCGAAACGATATCAAAAAAAAAAAAATGGCTCATAAATCTAGCCATAAATTATAACCAGTTTATGGTGCGCGAATGGCACAATAAAACCGCACAAAACAGAGACACAAGGTAGCTATAAAACATAAATACGATTAACTATTTATTTTTATATTAGCATAAATGATTTTGAAATTTTCGATTCGATTTTAAAGGCATCATTGTTTGAATATGATCTAATAAGATGGGTGGCAAATTTTGGGAAAAAATTAAGACAATGTTGGAAAATGACAAGAAGCTGTAAATCAAAATTTAAAGTTAAAAAAAATATGTTTGAATTTATTAATTGATGGATGATGGGAATCTATGGCTGTAAATCAAAATTTAAATTTAAAAATAAATTTTGATTTTAATAACATCAATTTGGATTGATGATGGAAATCTAAGGCCAGACCAGAAGCTGTAAATCAAAATTTAAAAATAAATTTTGAATTTATTTAATTCAATTTGGATTGATGATGGGAATCTAAGACACTTCGCAATGTCTAAGGTGGATTTCAGGGAATTTTTGGAATAAATTTTTCCACAAGATTTTTTTTTCAGAATTTCAAATAATATTTTCAAATGCAATCTTACACAGCCGAGGAATTTTTGAGAATATTTCTTAAGGTCAAACTGCTCAATTGTTATGAACTTATCCCGATTTATGAATAATTATTAAATTTCATTATTTAATGAAAATGTGATTTTTTGAGATTTTATTGTCAAGACTGAGAATTTATTGTCGAAGCAGAGTTGAGGTTTTGAAATAATTTTCAAGGAATCTGAGATCCTCGGAAATCGATTTTAATGGTTTCATAAAAGAAAATACTTTGAAATAAATGCTAGTTCTCAATGGCACACAATAATAATAATTGACAAACATTAAAGCATACTTTTAGGCCCCTTACAGTTAGAGCTTCAATAGAGCAATAAGGGAATTTTCAATTTTTATTGTGGTAAATTTATATTTACAGGGTGAGACGAAAAAATTGCAACCAACCAACAAACAGTCGGAGAGCGACCATCGGCGTCGTATTAATCGACCATAGCATCACAATAAATGCCGAAAATTATCAATAAAAAAATATAAAAAAAAAATATAATAAAAAAAATTCAGACTGATGTCATTTCTAAGCCACTCGTCCGACAGCTGTTAAAATTATTCCAGTGATAGTTCATTATATTGTTTACCAACGTACAAAAGCATTTTGGTGAAATATTTCCAGAAAAAAAGTTATTCGTGATGGAATTCAAGCGTGATATGATGTGATTTCTTTATATTTGTCTGGAAACCCGCAGGTGGCTATCGTTAGAGCACTCCAGCATTTAAATGTGAAAAAATCGTTTGTGACTCATACCATCGCTCGTTACAGTGATACCGGGTAGCATAGCCCGACGTCAAGGAAGTGGACGGAAGAAAACAGCAACATCAGCAGAAATGGCTCGAAAAATAAAAGAAGCGACTTGATCGAAACCCACGTCGCTGTGGCCGCAAAATGGCTCGTGAGCTGAACATATCACAATATTCCATTCGGCAAATATTGAAAAATTAGCTTGGCGTAAAGCCATTGAAATTCCAAAAAGTGCATGAACCTACACCCCGAACAGAAAGAAAATAGACTCAAAAGAGCTAAAGAGTTGCATCGCTTGGCCGAAAGTGGTGAACAGCCGAATTTGGTTTTCTCCGATGAGAAAACATTCGTTGTCTAGCAGTTTGTAAACAAACAAAATTATCGCGTTTACTTGCCAAACAGGTCAGCTGAAAATATGCACCTTCGGTAGGTTGGCCACCAGAACTCAAGCGCCGGCCATGGTGATGGTGTGGGCCGCCATATCAGCCGATAGTCGCTCTCCGCTCGTATTAATCGACTGTGGTATCAGAATAAATGTCAAATATTATCGCGAAAAAAAATTCTGGAGGGTATATTAAAGCCTTGGGCACGCAAATGACCTTCGACATTCCAACAGGACTCAGCACCATTGCACTCAGCACGCGCCACCACAGAAATGGTTACAAAATGAGGTTCCTCGCTTCATTTCCAGCGCACAATGGCCACCAAAATCTCTGGATACCAATCCGTTGGACTTTTGTGTCTGGAGTATTTTGGAAAGCAAGGGTGGCACTAAAAAATAACAAAGTGTCGATCACCTCAAGCAAGTGCTTCGCCGGGAATGGGCCAAAACACCGCAGAGCAACATTCGGACAGCGTGTGACGGTCTCATTGGCCGTTTGAAGGCCATAATTTGTGCTGAAGGTTACCAGTTCGAACAAATCTAAACTTATTCTAAAATTTGATGCTATTTCCGACATTTTTTGCTTTCATTTAATAAAATTTAAAAAAAAAGTCTAAAAATGTTGGCATTTGATTTTGTTGCAGTTTTTATCTCACCCTGTATATATATATTGTTCTCATCTTACCTGATGACGATGTCATTCCATGATGCGGACTCATAAACGAGCTCAATTTGGCGCTATGATGATATGGTGTCATAAATAAATCACTTTGATATTTATAGGTGGGATCGCTGGCCGCCGGCTGGGTGGCGGCGGCAAGTCCTTGAAAATCAAATTTATAGGCATAACGTTTGCCATGGACCTTGGTCATAATATTTTTGTCGTAATAGTATCTGAAAGGGAAAGAGAAAGAAAAAATACAATTAAAATCTCAACACATTACAAGATAATACATCAAATCAACATCTCCCCAGGGAGGGAAGAGGGAAATTGAGACCCCCCCTCCCCTCTCGACACTTTGTCTTTATTGTTTACACTTCCCACACTTTACACCAAACACATTTCGCAACCATTATTCTAAATTCTATGGTCGACAGCCACTGTTTGTTTGTTGGCAAATAAAAATGAAATGTTTGCCAGGGCCAAGAAAATCAAATGTCTGTCATTTTAAATAAAGAAAAACAAAACTTCCTTGGTACCTCCCCCCAGCCCGGGCATAAAACAACCCAGACATCTTTAACTTATTCTGCAAAAGTTCTCATCTCCTCAAATCATTCCCCTCCCCCAAAATTCTCCACCTCATTCATCACTTTTAATACAACTCTACGTTTGCTATGGCCATTCGTGTAATGCAATTAAATCAGACCATAAATCTTAAATAAATATACGGCCAGTGTCCTTCTTTTGTGTCCGAAATCCAACAGTGAGCGTAACCTTTGTGGTAAATTAGGGAGGATTTTCCAGGGGTTTCATTGTGTCATGCATTAATTTCAGCCCCATACTTAAAACATGAAACTGAATTTGGAATAAAAATTAAATAGTGCTCACTTTATGACCTTAGCCTTCAGCAAAAGCATAATTAGCGTCAGATTATAATTATGGCTTGGATGGATTTGGAAGAAGCGAAAAAAAAACAAAACTCCCTTTTCACAAATCATTCATAGAGGTTATGGTTATTAAAAGTTGCTTAAATTACTGCTGACGGACACTTCATGGCTAGGAAATAAGAGAGTGACTTTAATAAGGTTTAAGTAAACGGAAACAATGTCAGAAAAAAACATTCAAGATCTTCTAGTGTCCATAGCGAAGCTACAGGTCTCCTAAGGTCCATAAAAGACCTGAAAGACGTCTAATGTCCTTAGAAAATCTGGAGGTATTTTAGTGCCTTTAGAAAAGCTAAAGGTATTCTAGTGTCCTAAGAAGAGCTGAAGGTCTTCTAGTTTCCTCTGGTGTCCTTAGAAGACCTGGAGGTCTGCTAGATTCCTCAGAATACCAAGAGGTCTTCTAGTGTTTTTAGAAGACCTGGAGGTACCCTAATGTCCTCAGAAGACCTGAAGGTTTTCTAGTGTCCTTAGAAGACTTTGAGAATCGTTAAAAGATCTTGAGGTGTTCAAAAGTCCTTTGAAAACTAAGAAATCTTCTAGTGACTTTAGAAGGCCTGGAGGTCTCCTAGGGTCCTTTAAAAGCCTGGAGGTCTCTTAGGGTCATTTGAAGACCTGGAGGACTACTAATATCCATAAAAGACCTGGAGGTCTTCTGGTGTCCTTAGAAAGCCTGGAGGTCTTCTAGTGTCCTTAGAAGACCTGGAGATCTTCTAGTGTCATTAAGAGACCTGGAGGTCTTTTAGCGTCCTTCAAAGACCTGGGGGTCTTCTAGTGTCCTTAGAAGACGTAAATGTTTTCGGTTGTCCTTAAAGGACCTGGAGGCCTTCTTGTCTCCCTTGAAGACCTGGAGGTCTTCAAGTGGCCTTAGAAGACCTGTAGGTGTTCTAGTGTCCTTAAAAGACCTGGAGGTCTTCTAGTGTCCTTAGAAGACCTGGAGGTCTTCTAGTGTCCTTAGAAGACCTGGAGATCTTCTAGTGTCCTTAGAAGACCTGGAGGTCTTCTAGTGTCCTTAGAAGACCTGGAGACCTTCTAGTGTCATTAAGAGACCTGGAGGTCTTTTAGCGTCCTTCAAAGACCTGGGGGTCTTCTATTGTCCTTAGAAGACGTAAATGTTTTGGGGTGTCCTTAAAGGACCTGGAGACCTTCTTGTTTCCCTTGAAGACCTGGAGGTCTTCTAGTGGCCTTAGAAGACCTGGAGGTTTTTAAGTGTCCTTGAGAGACCTGGAGGTCTTCTAGTGTCCTCAGAAGACCTGGAGGTCTTCTAGTGTCTTCAGAAGAACTGGAGGTCTTCTAGTGTCCTTAGAAGACCTGGAAGTCTTCTAGTGTCATAAGAAGACCAGGAGGCCTTCTAGTGTCCTGAGAAGACCTCAAGGTATTCTAGTGTCCTTGGAAGACAAGGTCTTCTAGTATCCTTGGAAGATTTGGAGGTCTTTGGAGGGAGACCTGGAGGTCCTCTAGTGTCCTTAGAAGAGCTGGAGGTTTTCTAGTGTCCTGAAAAGAGGTCTTCTAGTGTATATACGAGACTTGGAGGTCTTTTAGCATCCTTCAAAGACTTGGGGGTCTTTTAGTATCCTTTAAAGACCCAGAGGTCTTTAAGTGTCCTTGGAAGACATGGAGGTCTAGCAGTGTCCTTAGAAGACCTAGAGGTCTTCTAGTGTCCTTAGAAGAAATGTAGGTCTACTAGTGTCCTAAGAAGAGCTGAAGGTCTTCTAGAGTGCTTAGAAGACTTTAACTATCCTTGGAAGACCTTGAGGTCTTTCAATGTCCTGTGAAGATCTGAAGGTCTCCTTGGGTCCTTTGCAGACCTGGAGGTCTTGTAGTGTCCTTAGGAGACCTGGAGTCTCCTTTTAGAGTCCTTAAAAGACCTGGAAGTGTTCTTCTGGGAATAAAAGTCCATGTGGACTTATTTTTTTCATAGAGGTATCCTTATGACCTTTAGACATTTTTGAAAATTGGCTGATCCTTAAAAAATGAAAATATATTCTTAAATAGTCAGTGTTTATTAGTCTTTGAAAAAAATTATGCATTTAAAATATTTGTCTGCTTTTCCCTAAAAGAAATTCCTTAGAAAAAACAGGAATCCTCAACATTTTCTCCCATTTACCTTCCCCTTTCCCTTCAGTGATTGTCTGTCATTTGCACTCGTCCTTGTAACCTGTTAAAAGTCTCTCTTTTTTTTGTCAATTTGACAACATCTTTGTCAATACGCAAATAAGCCAAATTGTCAAATTGAACAGAGGCTTATCCTTGTTCTTGTTGTTATCTTCTTATTTGCTTATATCCTTTGCAAAAAAAAAAAAAACAATTCCAAGACACATTCACGAAAAGGATACCAATCAACCATGTAAATTGCCATCGGCCAAAAGGGGCGACGACGCGACGAGGAGATGCCAATTTTTGTTTGAAGTTGTTGCCTCGGTGAAATATTTTAACAACACTTGCCAAATTACGGTGTTAATGCAATTTACTTTGGAAGAAAAACGAAGAGGAATGATTTAAATGGTATGAGGGGAGGAAGAGTTGGTGAGATCAAAGGAATTGTTATCCTGTTGTTGTTTGTGGGGAATTTAAGATATAAAAGCATTGCTCTTTTAGCAACCCCTCCTCCCACACACTCAATCCTTTTTCAGTATTGACAGCAGCATCTTCATCGTCATCGGCATCATCGGCAGCAACACCAAACATAAATCCTTTAATGCTTCATTTACTTTTATTTTGGTCCTTGTTTGTATTTGTATTGGGTGGGCAAACATGCATGAATCTCCACATAGGACATATGTGTTATTTGGATGATTGGTGTTGATGGTGTTGATGATGATGGACACTTGTATGTGTCAAATAAATAGCTTTCTTTAATCCTTTTTTTCTCTCTCCCTCCCTCTCTCCCCTCATACTCAAAGTGCTGCTGTAGAAATCTGTTGAGTTTGGATGCCGTTTTGAGGTTATGTTTACCAATTGTTTCCCATTTACAAAGGACTATTCTGCCTTTGCCATTCATTTACCCAATGGGGAAGACAATCACTGGCTGATTGCCTCGGATTGATGATGTCAATGACGATGATGATGCTGATGTATTTGTTTGTTGTTTTGATTTCCAAAAAAAGGGTTTTTATTTTCGTATTTCTGCTACTGATTGAATGTGTAAATAGCCAGGGATAGTATTGGCAAATAGTGCTGAAAGCAATCCTTATTTTTGTAGTGGACAGCCGAGAGGATTTGGGACATGTTTCATATTTTGAAGGATAAGATTTTAAGAAAAGCCAATTTTCTTGAATTTTAATCCTTTGTTGTTTAAAGAAAAAAAACTTCACGGAAAACTCTCTCATATTATCCTAAAAAGACCAGAAGTGCAACCAGGACATAGAGAATAGTAGACTTTAGGGCATACTATAGAGAAACGGAGGCAAGGTCTTCTACAGAGAAAGGAGATCCCAAGACCCCTGACCCAAGCTCTAATATGTACAATGGGAGACCTCAAGTTCTAATATGGACAATGTCTTTTATAGACAATAGAAGACCTCCAGGTCTTCTTTAGACAATAGAAGACCTCCAGGTCTTCTGTAGACAATGGGAGACCTTCAGGTCTTCTATAAACAGTAGGACACCCATAAACAGTAGGACACCTCCAGGTCTTCCATAGACAATAGGAGACCTCCAGGTCTTCTATAGGCAATAGGAGACCTCCAGGTCTTCTATAGGCAATAGGAGACCTCCAGGTCTTCTATAGGCAATAGGAGACCTCCAGGTCTTCTATAGGCAATAGAAGACCTCCAGGTCTTCTATAGACAATAGGAGAACTCCAGGTCTTCTATAGGCAATAGGAGTCATCCAGGTCTTCTATAGGCAATAGAAGACCACCAGATCTTCCATAGAAAATAGAAGATCTCCAGTTCTTCCATAGACAATAGAAGACCTCCAGGTATTCTATATACAATAAAAGACCACCAGGTCTTCTACAGACAAAAGCAGACCACCAGGTCTTCTGCAGACAAAAGCAGACCACTAGGTCTTCTATAGAAAATAAAAGACCTCAAGGTCTTCTATAGGCAATAGAAGACCTCCAGGTCTTCTAAGGACACTTGAAAACCTCCAGGTCTTCTAAGGACAGTCTTCTATTGACAGTAGAAGACCTTCAGGTCTTCTAAGGACAGTAGAAGACCTCCAGATCTTCTAAGGACAGTAGAAGACCTCCAGATCTTCTAAGGACAGTAGAAAACCTGCATTTCTTCTAAGGATAGTAGGAGTCCTCTATTTCTTCTAAGAACAGTAGGAGTCCTCCATTTCTTCTA